TCTATGTATTTTTAGTTATCCGATTAATTTCTTCCTAATTTTAGTAGAGACGCGGTCTCGCTCTTGCTCAGGCCGGTCTCGAACTCCTGACCTTGAGTGATCCGCCTGCCTCGGCCTCCCAGAGAGCCAGGATTACAGGCGTGAGCCACCGCGCCCGGCCCCATGTGGGGTCTTAATTTGTATTTCTGAGTCTCTGTTTTGCCTGTTTGTCCCTTTATCAGCCCCTTCCCTGAGCGGGGGGAACCACGTCGACCGAGCCCTCCCGGTTCTCAATACGCGTCCCGGGCCAGAACCTGCCTAACAGTGGGCCGAAGACCTGAGGGTCCGAACCCTGCCCAGGGCAGGGCCCCAGGCACAGGCCAAGGTGCCTGCTCCGGGGGCGATTCCCGCTGCTCCTCAGCGGAGGCCACGGCTCCCAGCCCCCGGCCCCTGCCCTCCAGGCCGGCCGGCCACCGTGGGCCCCAGGCCGCGGCGCCGGGGAGCCCTTTACCTTACCCCCGGCTCCTCTGGTTGAGCTTCTTCAGGAAGACCCTGGTGACCTCGAGGGCCTCCTGCTCGGGAAGCAGCAGGTTCCCAGACGTGTTGCAGTTCAGGTCGATCCAGTCGCTCCTCAGGGCCTGGAAGTCGAGATTCGGGGCGCTGAAGGTCTGGTCCCAGTTCACCACGGGGTCGAACACAGGCACGTACTCAAACACCTCGCTCATATCCTCCTCTTCTTCCTCTTCTTCCCCCTCTTCCTCTGCCTCCACGTGTCCTTCCTGGCCTGCGGCTGCCGCCGCCTCCTCCTCCCGCCGCCACCCCCTCCCGGGGGCCCGGGGCTCCATCCCGTCGCCCCTTCTCTGCTCCGCGATGTACGACTCCACTTGGTTCAGCCACTGCGACTGCTCCAGAGTCTTGGCGAGGCCATCGTGGGCCGGCCTGGGCCTCTTCGTCCGAGGCGGGTTCCCTGCCGGGCGCCCGGGAGGCCGCGTGTCAGGATGCGGTGAATCTCGGCTGGGCTCGGGGCTGGCCTTCCTCTTCCTCTCCTCCGGATGCTGGACCGGGACGTCGCTGGTCCTCACCGTGGCGTTCCGCCTGGAAAAGGGCGCCGGCCGGCCCTCCCGAGGCTGAGCCAGCAGTTTCCGCAGGCTCCGGAGGCGGTAGTCAGTGACGTCCTGCCCGGGGGTCGAGGCGGGCATTTGCTTTCCCTCCAGCATCCTGGCATTCTGGTCGTCGGAGGCGGGGGTCTCCTCTGCCACTTCTCCATACTGGGACTCTTCTAGGAGGCCCTCCTCAAAACCTGTGGTTAACAACAGCCATTCCTCACGTCGGCGCTTGGCAGCCTTTTCCCAACAAGACACACGAGGCAGCCAATGACCACCTGTGTGACGCGCCAAGGGCCAGACGGGACTGAATCGGGCTCTGCCGCTTGCTGTGTGGCCTTGGGCAAGGTGCTCAACCTCACTGACCCCAGGACTCTGAGTGGCACAGAGCACAAAGTGCCGACGGGGGCCTGGCACCTGCAGGGGCCCAGCAATGGCCCGGCTGGATCCCTCCGGAAGAAAGACCCCAGGAAGACAGCGCTTCTCCACAGCAGAACTTCCCGAGCAGCGTGCCGGGGCCAGCGACCCCCTGGGCAGACGGGTCATCCCCTCCCGCGCCCCCACTCGCTCCGGCTGGCCCCGGCTCACTGCTAAAAATGGTGCCGTTTTCTACACGTGCCTTGACGTGGACAGGGTGGGAGAACTGCTCTCACGTGGGGGTCGGGCGCGGCCTGTCCTTGGACGTGGGGGAGGGGCCACGTGACCTGGATTTTAAGCTCCTCAGGGGCAGGGCTGGCACATGCGTGCGTGCGTGTGTATGCGTGCGTGCGTATGTGTGCGTGCATGTGTGCGTGTGCGCGTACATGTGTGGGTGCGTGTGTGTGCATGGGTGTGTGTGCGTGGGTGTGTGTGTGCGTGCGTGTGTTGCCCCCGTCTGACCGGAAGCCTCAGCCCTCACTCTGTACCTGGCTGCTGTGACCCCTGCTGCTCAGGCTGGTCGATCTTGATGTACTCCTGGAAGCTGAACCTGCGGGAGGAAGGGGGTGTGGGCTTTGCGGGCTCGGCCCTGGCTCTGCCCAGCAGGAGCCAGAAGTTTCACCCCAGGCCACGCGGAGGCTGGAGGCGGGTGAGCCTGAGGGCCTGCGAGTCTGTGAAACACCAGGGAAGCGCAAGGCCTCCCGGGCTGGGAGGGCGCCTTCGGCCACGCTGGTGCGGGCAGCTCTCCCGGCTCCTGCAGGGCCCCTGCAAGGCCGTCGTTGTGCCCCACTCAGCGCCGCTCACCTGTCCTGGTCGTAGGCATTTTCCTGGTAGAAGCATTTATTGTGCGTCTCCATGTGGCTCAGGCGGGTGTAGTCATTGGGGTAGACAAAGGACAGATGAATCTGGAGGCAGAGAAAGCAGCAGCGGGAGTGAGAGGGTAGGACCGCGGGAGGAAGCGAGTCGGCGGGTTGAAGCCTGCCCCTGGCTGGGCTCACACAGGGCTCCCAGCGCGCTGCCCTTGGCGGGAGGGGAGGGCAGCTCTGAGCTCCGGTGAAGCATTTGGCTCCAGGACTGGCGGACCTTTCCACTCGCCGTGCCTGTGGGCTCGCTGAGCAGACGCGGCCCAGGCTCCCTGGTCCGCACGGCCTCCTCTCCTGCCCTCGCTGCAGCCAAGACCACGCCCTGCTCCCTCTGCCACCTTCTCCCCGCAACCTCTGAACCCTCACCTGCCACCTCCCACAGCCGGGACGAGCCCCTCTCATGTCCCTCGCGCATCCCTCTCCCCCTTTCATGGCTCGAAATCACCACCACCGAAGACCCTGTCGCGTGTACCCACCCACTGTCCGACCCGGCCGGGACGCCTGACCTCCCCGCCTGCCTCCAGCTCTCGCAATCGTGTCCCGCTGTGGACACATAGCTTGGCGCTCGCTCTGCCTCCCCGGGCTCCACGTGGGCTCTGGGTTCTCTACGACTGACCCCCCCACGGTTCGTCTTTCCCCGGCGCCGTGTCCGCCGCTCCCACAAACACGGCCGGCGACTGGCCGGTGGGCGTGAGCGGAGCGTACACGCCTCAGCCGGACCGCCGGACACGCTCCCTGGGGCAGAGCTGGCGTGTGCGTGTGCGTGTGCGTGCGTGGGGGACCCCGAAACAGACCCGTGTGCGGCTGCTGCTGTCCATCGGGGCAGTCCCTCTGGGAAGGCCGGTTCTCCCAGCCCGGCCCGGGGCCCTGAGAGGCCGTCCCATCTGTGGGGTGGGGTGTGGGCGAGGGGGGCTCAGCCCCGGCACCTCCCAGCCGAGTCTCAGGCGGGGTCCCTCTCCCGCCCCCGCCCCCGCCCGGGCCCAAGACTTACAAACCGGAGTCCCTGGTAGCGCTGCAGGGGGAGCCCCTCCACCAGGTAGCTGGGTTTGTAGGGACAGTCGGGCAGGACGTGGCGGAGACGAGACTTGGGGATCAGAGGCACTGCGGACAGCAAGGGAAGAGGAATGGGGGGGCGAAGTCCCCTTCCCGGAGGCGGCGCCGTCCTGCGGTCGCTAGTGGCGGCTGCGGCCAGAGTCGACGCCCACTGGCTGGGACGGCCCACTCCCCTGGGGCACGGCCGTGCAGGGGGCACCTTGGTGGCAGAGGATCGGGACAGAGTCCCCGCCACAGGCACAGTCGGGACTGTGGGTCACTGCATAGGGTGGTCTCGGTGAGGGCTAGAAACTCCCGAGAGGCCACAAAGGCCCCACCCTGCGCGGCGCCCACAGCTGGGTTTCCTTCCCCGGCCTGGACACCCCTTAGCAGCCGGCGGCCACTTCTGGGGGGCGAGGGCGGAGCGGGAGCTTTATCGTCTGTTAAAGCGTGGACGCCCCCAGGCAGAACGACACATTGAGACTTAGCGTCGACGCGTTCCTCTCGCTGGATGACCAGAGCTGGAATCCAGCGAGGGACTGTGACGTGTGTGGCTGCAGGGGACACTCAGACTTCGGGGCCCTGCTTCTGCTTCTCGTCCTGGGTGGGGGTTGCACGGATGCTCGCCCTGAAATGGTCTGTGGCATCACAGAGCTGTGCGCCAGCACTTCTGTGCTCTCCTGCACGCGTGCGGCGCTTCACGAGGAACACGGAAGACCCTGCGGCTTTCTGGAGACCGAGGCGGAGCCCACACGTCCCGAGTCTCCTTCCCCAGCACGACGGGCCTGGCCGTGCCCCGCCCCGGACTGACGCCAGCACGGGCCCAGGCCTTACCGCGATAGAGCGTGTCCCGCGGGTCCGGCCGCAGCATGTCGGCCGGCGGCTGCTCGTCCCCGGCGAGAGGGTCGGAGGAGCCCGCGTGGCTGGCTGCCGTCTGGGGGACGTGGCCCACCTCGTCCATCCTCAGGACCGTCTCGTCTAGGCCGGAGGAGAACAGAGGAAGCCGAGCGTCCTGCGGCCGCCCAGCCCTCGCCTTGAGGGGCCAGGAAGAGACGCCGGCGGCTTGTGTCCCAGTGGGTGCGGTGCAGGATGAGTGTGGTCCCTCTCACCGCCAGCCTGCGCCAACCGTGGCCTCACCTCCCTGTCCCCGTCCGGCCCTCCGCCCGCCATGGCTAGCCCACATCACGGTTGTGCGCAAACTGGAAAAAGACAGCTCTTCTTCAAAACGTCTTAGTGTTATCTGATGGGAATTTGTCATTATGTTTACTTAACAAACAGTAATAAGCCAGGCACTGCAGCTCTCGCAAATATTAACTCGTTTAATCTCCAAAACCACCACACGACGCGTGCTACGTTGTTCCTACTTTACAGACGAGGAACGCTGCGCAGAGAATCTACGTCCTTTGCCCAACAGCGCACCACGGACGCAGCAAAGCCGCGTTTGAACCCAGGTGATCGGGTTCCAGCGTCCGGGCGGCACCACCTCCCAAATGAGCGACCGGCAGTGACTGCCCCCCAGCACCGCCCCTGGTGCTTCCATCTCGTCTGCTCGCACCTCCCTCCTCCCTTCCGTCCTTCGCGCTCCTCAGCCCCAGACAGAGCTCTTCCTTCTTTTAGTTTTTTAGAGATGGAGGGTCTCACTCTGTCACCCAGGCTCCAACTCCTGGGCTCAAGAGATCCTCCTGCCTCGGCCTCCCGAGTAGCCTCCTCACAGATGGGACTACGGGCCTGCCACCCTGCTCGGCTAATTTTAAAATATTTTGTGTAGAGATGGGGTCTTGCTATGTTGCCCAGGCTGGTCTCAAACTCCTGAGCTCAAGCGATCCTCCAGCCTCGGCCTCCCACAGTGCTGGGATTACAGGCGTGAGCCACCCCGCCCGGCCTCCAGCTTACTCGTTTCTTACCTGAACTTTGCTATGGGCCCCTCTCTTGGTCACGCGCAATCTAAGGATTCCAATTCCCTCTTCTCCCACTGTACCTTCTGCCCTGACCTGTGGGCTGGCGCCTTAGTCACCAGCAACTTCCCCCCCGCCACCCTGTACTCCACACTGCCCCCCTGCCCTCCGAACACACTCTCCCGGCCTCTCCGGCCCCTCCCGCCCTCACCCCTCCCCCAGCCGTCCAGCCACGGACGGACCGTGTGTGTTCAGTGGGTCTCGGGATAGGAGTCTTGCTGAGGAAGTGACAGGCGACTGAAGGGTGCGTTTACTGCACGTTCGGGGAGGCAGAAAAGCCTCCTCCCCCCGGCCACGGCTTTGTAACCACCATGGCAGCCTCATCTGTTAATGGGGGATTGGCCTTAGGACTCACGCAGAGATTTTTAGCCTGGAGTGAGCCTCGTGGTCTCTGGATCTCCTCGAAGCTGCATCCAAAGTGTTGTGTGTGGGTGGACAAGGGCACTTTTCCGAGGCAAGGGATCAGAGAACTTCTAGCAGGTTCTGGAAGGGGTCACTGACCCCGGAGAGTTTAGGGCCCTGACCCCAAGGTCCCAGCAGGCCCTGCTCCTTGTTCCCGACCCCTTCACGCCCAGGTCCCCAGCACCTTGGGCTTCAGCCTCCTCCCTCCCGCCTCACCCCTGACCAACCCCCAGGTGCCCGGCCTCCGCCTCCGGGAGGGGCGGCGCCTGCTCACCTGTGAAGAGGGAGAGTGAAGGGGAGTCGATGACGGTGAACGTGGCTCCGGGCTCGCTCCGTCTCCACTAGGAGAGGAGAGGGTGGCGTTTGAGCGGGGTGCGGGGACAGGGCGGGGAGGGCCAGGGCCGAGCCGGGAGGGGCGGGGCGGCCGCGCACTCACCGCGACCTCCACGTGGTCCGTGCCCTCCTCGTTCTGCTTGTGCAGCACCTCGAAGTAGTACCTGCGGGCGGCTGACAGGCTGGCGGGGAGAGGACAGGGAAGGGAGGGCTGCCTCCTGGGTCCTGGGCCCCCCCTGCCCCTTCTCCTCTCCCACCAGCAGAGCCTCCCCTCCTCCTGTCTCCGTGCTCTGAGTGCCTGGAGGTAACTGCCGAGTCAGAGCCCCCGCTCCACCTCTTACTGACCGCGGGCCTTGGTTTTCTCTTCTGTCGGATGGGCGTGAAAATAGCCCTTACTTCACAGGGTAACGGGAAGAGCCCGACGGAAGCACAGGAACGGTCAGCCCTGCCAGGGCAGTTGCTGTCTGCCTCATGTCAAATACACACTAACTAGATAAATCCTCCTGCACGGAGAGCACCGGGGCACAGAAGTCTCCGGCAAAAGCGGTGCGGCTGGGACTGGACCCAGGCAGTCTCGCCTCAGAGCCCACGTCATTAGCCGCTGCGCTGAGCTACCTATCGCACGCTCGCCACGGGGGCTGGCACCCCGCAGCGCTCTGCGGGAGAGATGGTCTTCTTTTTAAAATTCTTTTTTTACCATTTCTTTAACCTTTTGTCGATACGTGATATTTGTATATGTTTATGGGGTACATGTGGTATCTTTTTCCTTCCTTATTTTTATCTTTAGAGACGGGGTCTCACTCTGCCACCCAGGCTGGCGTGCAGTGGCACGATCACAGCTCACTGCAGCCTTGAACTCCCGGGCTCGAGCGATCCTCCTGCCCCAGCCCACTGGGACTACAGGTGTGCACCACCACGCCCGGCTAATTTTTATATTTTTTGTAGAGATGGGGGTCTCGATATGTTGCCCAGGCTGGTCTCGAACTCCTGGCCTCAAGCAAGCTTCCTGCCTCCTAAAGTGCTGGGATTACAGGGGAAGCTGCGGCTGTGTCCAGCCCACTGCTAGCTATTTTGAAGTACGCAACACGCTGGTAACGGCAGCCACCCTGCTCTGCTGCGGATCATTAGAACTTCCTTCCGTCTAACAATATGTCTGCACCTGCTAAGCCACCTGTCTTCCTCCCCCGCCCCCACACACTCCAGACCCTTCCCAGCCTCTGGGGTCACCAATAGGGAGCCGGTGCGGTGCCTGCCTGTGTGTGTGGCCGCCAGGTGGCGCTCGGGGCAGGACTAAGTTCCCTTCTCCAGTGCATTCGGGGGATTCCAGCCACTCCCGGCTGGAACGGCCTCCCTGTCCCCCAGCCTCCCAAGGTGGCCCTGCAAGGTCATGACAGCCTGGGAACTCCCGGCAGCCGGGGCAGCGCCGCCGGTGGCCAGGCCGTCACAGGTGGGGAGAAGACGGGAAGGGCAAGGAGCGGGAGCAAGGAAACCCGGTTTCCAGCCCTGAGTGTCACACAGCTGTGTGACTTCAGTAGGTCACACTCTCTGGGCCTGTGAATCCGTCTGTGGAATGAGGAAGGTGGGCCGGATGGTTTCTCAGCCGGAGACCCTGCCCGCCAGGGCGCACGGGGCTCGGAAGGTGGGCGGGGAGCCCCCTCGCCGCCGCCGCAGCGCCCGTGTGCCCTCACCCTCCCGCTCACCTCACCGGCCTGGAAATCTGATTCCGAAATTTGCCAAACTCTCCGGGCGCCGTCCACTCCTTTCCAGTCTGGAGTGTGGGCAGGGAGGAGGGAGGAGAAGGAAGGAGGACGGGAAAACAGGAGGCAGGAAGGAGAGGAGCAGAGAAGTGGTGGGAAGGAGGGAGGAAGAGAGGAGGAGGAGGGTGAGAGGAGGAGGAGGGTGAGAGCAGGAGAGAGAACAGCAGAGTCAGGAGTGGCTGTGACCCCTGCAGACCTCAGCGCCACCCCCAGCACCCGGCTGCGGACGGCACACACGGCAGATGCCGCGGCCGCGTCCCCACCCAGAGACGACTCTCTGGCCTCCGACTCTGACTCCCTGCACCTCAGTCACCCCCCGTAGCTCAGGGCAGGGGCAGGAGAGGCTCTTGGCTGTCACCCTGGAGACTGCCTTCCCCGGGTGTCACACCAGAGACGCTGACAGTGAGGAGTCCCCTGGCGGACGTGGGGGCCTCCCCGTGGCCAGGCTCCCGGAGGGCAGGGCAGGGGAGCGCCGCGGCAAGCCGCGCCCACCTTGCCCACGCTGGCCAGCAGCTGGAGGCCGGAGACCTGGTCGTCGCGGCTCAGCCAGAACTCGGCGTTGTCGTCGGCAGCGATGGCGAACTGGATGGTCCCTGGAGGGGCGGAGTTCCCGGGTGAGAGCTCTCGGCGCATCGGCACGGCACAGAGGGTGGAAGCCCCTGGCCGTGGCCCGGTGCTGTGGCCGCCCGCCCTGCAAAGTGGGGGTCTCTGCCTCCGGGGAGGCAGCGTGAGGACGGAGGAGATTTGCACGGAGATGAGCCAGTCCCAGACGGTGAGTCAGGGGGCGGGGCGGCAGCCCGGGGGAAACCGGGTGAGACCGCGCCATGACTCAGCTGCCCCTCTCCTTGAGGGGAGAACTAGCGGGGTCCAGCGTGGGCTCGTCTCTCGCTAAGGCTCGTGCTCTCCGGTCCCCTGCAGAACTGTGGGGCGGGAAGAAGAATGGGGCTTTGGGGCTGGCCTCACCATCGGCGAAAGGGTGCAGGTAGCCAAAGATGCGGAGGCCATAGTTGGTCCATTTGGGGGACACGGCCAGCTTCCTCAGGGTAGTGCGGACCTATGCCAAGAGAGGGGAAGGAAACCGTTACCCAGAAGGGGGAAGAGGAAAAATCGGTCCACTCGGGACTGGTGGGAAGACCAGGAGGGGACAGAGACAGGAGAGACCAGGGCTGTGGCTTGGCGAGTGGAGCGCAGGTTCAATCTCAGCTCCCACTTGCCTCTTTGTCCTGGTGACCTTGCACAGTGCACAACCAGCACAACTGTACGTGGTGGCCCTGGGCGAACTATTACTGTATTGCGTACCAGGATGGTGAGAGCCCAGAACTGAAATGATGCAGAGGATGAAACAAAGAATCCCTGGGAAGGGAACAGGGAGATTTGGGCAGAGGAAGAGCCCAGGAGATAAAAGAAAGAACACGGAGCAGAAGAGAAGTGAGGAGAGATGAGGAAGACGGAGGCAAGGGGAGAGGAGGGGGGCAGGGCGGGGTGGGCGTGGCGGCCGCAGGCACTCACGTGGGGGTACAGTGGGAAGTGCAGATTCCTCCTGAGCTGCTGGACGGAGCTGCCGCACCAGTCCTCAAACACGTGCAGGTTGGCCCGGCCCCGGAACTGCGTGGGCAGAGAGGGCGTGTGAGCTCCCCACGGCTCGGCTCGGCGGCAGGGAGAGGGCACCGTGCGGGCACGCTCGCTCCCGGAACCCGCGGACGCTCGCCCTGGGGCCTGCGTGCCCTGCCGTGCAGGACGGCCGTTTGCATCCGCGGGCAGGGGGCCGTGGCGAGGACTGCGGATGACGGGAACTGGGAGGAGACGGACTCCCGCTGCCCCCCTGGTAGGAGGAAAGGCCACAGCTGTCCCTGGAGTCTTATCCATCCTGGGGTTTGGCTTCCGGCTCCCCCGTGGGGAAGCAGCCGGGAGCATCCGAGGTACCTGGGCCTCCCCACGCGGCCTCCCGCAGCTCTCGGAGCCTCGCTCTGGCCAGGCCTCTGCCGGGAGAGCTCGGGCAGCTGGAGGTCAGGGGCGGAGGAAATGCCCTCTCTCCTCCCCAGGACTGGGCCGGGGGCGGCAGCGGAGGCCCCTTCCCAAGACAGGGCTGAACGTTTGGGGACGGGGCGGACGGGGGAGGGACGCTGGGTGTCAGCTTACCCTGTCCCGGCCCCCACGCCCCCAGGCTCGCTCTCCAGGCTGTGGGAGGTGGCGCCGCGATCGATCACCCCCCACGCGCAGGCCCTGCCTGCCCCGCCCCGCCCATCAGACAACAGCATCTGAGCTGCCCTCAGGAAAGCCGGGCCCAGGCGGACGCCAGGACTGGACGTCCCGACGGAAGAATGTGGCATGAGGTCTTCTGCAGAGAGGGGGACTGACTCCTCGACAGGGACGCCAAGGCCGGCGGGGCGGGCACAGCCTCGGGAAACTGCCCCCCAGCCGGACCCAGAGAAGACCCGGCCCGTCACTCCCTGCCCTCCGGCAACTCGGCCCTCCCTGGGGACACCGGCCTGGTCGAGGCGAGGAATGTGGGGCCTTGGGAAGCAGCCCCCACTCGCAGGAACAGGAGCGGAGGGCGGGCGGGGGGTTAGGGCTTCAAGGAAGAAAATGACGGGGACATCGTCGGGACATCATGCTGCTTCTGGGGGACCCCTCAAGTCAGTTCACAGGGCCCTGTGGTCTCCTCCCCTCCGCAGCGTCCAGGAGGCTCAGACCTGGGCAGGCGCTCAGACCCGCGCACGGGAGGGCGGCCACCAGGGAAGCCTGCTGCCTTCGGCAGGAGGCCACAGGGGTCTGGGCAGGGGAAGGGGGCAGGCGCCGTGCTGCCCCCCCAGGGCCTCTCCAGCCTCAGCAGCGGCAGCCTCATGCTGTGGGGAGCGCGGCGGGTCAGGAAGAGGACTCCGCACCTCCTCTGGGGTCCGCCCCCCCAGCATTAAGCCCACACACCGTGACCCCCACCCTCACGCTCTAGGTGGGGGCTCTGAGGGGCCAGTGGGCCCCCTCCTCTTCCCTAGGTAGCCCCCCCAGGATGTGCGTCCCTCCAAGCTTGGGAGACTGTATCTGGCAGGGACGCCAGGACACCGCACTGCCCTCTGCTGCTCCCTCCGTCGTCCGGCAGGAGCGAAGGCCCAGGGAGGGGCACTGGTCATCCCAGCGCCAGAGGACATCTAAGGCTGATGACGGTTTTGGAACTTGCAGTCAGAAACAGTGGAGAAATTATCTGCTGGAACCTTCTCATTTTACAGGTGAGGTTATTAAGGCTCAGAGAGGTAAACTGACTCCCGAGGGACACACAGCAGTTAACCCGTGGCAGCGGGGAGGGCGTGTGTGAATACGGATCAGGAGGGTGAGGCCAGCCTCCGTCTCCCACCCTCGCCCCAGCCTCCCGGCCTCCCAGCTGCACCGGCTTCTCCCTCCTGGGTCCCCGCAGCCTCCGAACTGCTGTAGTCGCTCTGGTACCCGACACCCCAGAGGCTTCAGGACGCGGTGTCACCGTGGCACACAGTGACTTTTAAGGCTTTTGAGGCCGGCGCCCCTCCCAGCCTCACCCCCACCACCCCGTCGCACACCCACCCGTGCTCCGCCAAACTCCCCGTCTCTGCGTAAATGCCGCGCCCCTCCACCCCCGCGCGCCTGCAGATGCCATTTCCGGGCTGGGAGGGCTTTTCATTCCTTCCCCATGTGCCAAACTCCCGCTCGCGGATCCTTCGAGACCCTTCTCCAACATTCCTCGCCGCGGCCTCCGCTGACCTCCCGGGCAGAGTGAACGGCGCCTCCCCGCGCCCCCGCGCAGTGTGGCCATTGAGCGGACGAACGCCTGGGGAAGCCGGGCCCAGAACGGCGCGTTCCTTGCTTTACTCTAAGAGCACTGGGTGTGCGCTCCGCACCCTCACGCGAAACCCACATGGGCTTCCGCGGACACGGACACGCAGCAAATGGCACCGCCATGCCAGGGCTGTGGCCGAGGCCCAGGCGCAGGGGCGGGAGCGCTGACGGAACCTCTGCCGCGTCGGGCCGCTGGTGGTCAGGTCACACCCACGGGCCTCGCACGCCTGGCTGGCGGCTCCTTGTCACTCCCGGGGCAGCGAGGCCACACCCCGGAGGAGAAGGCCGACAGGTCACCGGTCCCCACACCTGCGTCCTGTCTGGAGCTTCGAGCAGCTCGATCACTCTGCCTCCCTGGGCACACCTGTCCTCCGAGGGAGTTCCTCCGTGGAGGTCGGGGGTAGCCCTGGACGCTGGGGCAGGGCCGGGGTCCCCGTGGAGAAGTCACCCCCGCTCGAGGGGATGGTCTGGGCGAGCTGAGATGCCGCAGGAATCTCACCAGAGCAAGCGAGGTGGACGGGGGACGGGACAGACTGCAGGGTGGAGATTAGAGGCTCTGGAAGCCATTGAGTCGGAAACACACACACACTGGACACGGATGTTCCCGGCAGCATTATCCAAACGGCCCCGAAGTAGAAGCAACGCAGATGCCCCCCCAGAGGAACGGATACACACAGCGTGGCAGATCCGTGCAGCGGCACATCACGCCGCACGGCAAGGAACAAAGCACCGACACGCTACCACACGGATGAACCCTGGACACGTGGGGCCGAGCCACGGAAGCCGGACACAGAGGGCGCGTGTTGCACGAAACGTCCACAACAGGCAAGTCTCCAGGGTGGACGGCGGGCGACTGTTCGCCGAGGGCGGGGCGGCGGGAAGAGGGTGGCGAGCGGTGCTGGCCGGGGAGGGCAGTTTCCGTTTTAGGACGTGAGAACGTTCTGGAATCGAGTGTAGTGGAGGCACAGTTCTGTGAACGTCACTAAAAGCGCTGGAAGTGCACGCTCCGAATGGCTGAATCACACGGTGCGTGAATTACAGCGCAATAAAGCTGCTGAATAACGACCGGAGCCTGCGAAGGGGGTCTGAGTCACGGCCCTGTCCCCAAGAGAGACGCCGCCTCGGCGAAGCCCGCACGACTCACCCGCGGACACCCGGGGTGTCTGACCCGACTCTGGGATCACCAAACTTCCTTCCTGGAACCCTCTGGGTTTTGGGGGCAGCGGCCTGGCTGGTCAAGGGAGTGGCATATTGACCAATCGATGACAAGACTGGCACCGGGCTTTGTCCATTAGGGTCACGCGTGGGTGGGCGTGAGCACGGCTTTGCGGACAGCCACGCCACGAAGCCCGGCCCCGGCCGTCCAGCGGGCCAGTCTCCCTCTGACACACCACGTGCAACCTCTGAGGCTGCCGTGCCTCCGAGAGTGACTTCCGGCGTCAGAGAGCCCGGGTGCCAGCCGCCGCCTGGCGCTGGGCGACGGTGGGAGAGGGGACCGCCATCCTTGCTCTCCCCTGTCCTTGCTCCCTCGGGCGGGGCTGTGTGCGGCCTGCAGCCTCCACTGAGGAGGTGACTTCCGAGCCCCGGCCTGACAGCGGCGGGCACAGCTCCGCCTGGCGGCTCGTGGACGGCCGTGAGCGGCCTCTGCTGTTCGCCTGGGAGCTCCTTGCCGACAGTGCGCCCCACAGGCAGGGCCGTCAGGAGACGGCGCAGGAGCCCCGTGGCGTGGAGGCCAGGCGGCTGCGCTGTGTGACCCGCCCAGGGCCTGCCCTGCCTCCTGGGACAAGGACAGAACTGGGTCAGTGACTCCCTGAAGATGGTAATGAGGATTCGGTAACCAGTTTTAATGTTAAAACCATGAAATCAATGGAAATCAGCCATTTACCACCAAAAGACCATACGCACTTACTAAAATAAAATGTTTCTTTAAAAAGTTAATCCTATTTTAATCACTATTTACCACTTGGGCCCTGTTTTTGTTTCATTACATATCTATACATATATCCTAGATTGGCAAAAAAATGGGGACATTAGTTATTTATTTATTTATTTTTTTGAGACAGAGCCTCACTCTGTTGCCCGGGCTAGAGTGCCGTGGCATCACCTAGCTCACAGCAACCTCAAACTCCTGGGCTCAAGCAATCCTTCTGCCTCAGCCTCCCGAGTAGCTGGGACTACAGGCATGCGCCACCATGCCCAGCTAATTTTTATACATGTATATTTTTTTTAGCTGTCCAGCTAATTTCTTTCTATTTTTTAGTAGAGGCGGGGTCTCGCTCTTGCTCAGGCTGGTCTCGAACTCCTGACCTTGAGTGATCCACCCAGCTCGGCCTCCCAGAGTGCTAGGATTACAGGCGTGAGCCACCGTGCCCGGCCAATCACCAGATCTTTAAGGCAACTTCTTTCCAAAATACTATCTATCTCCAGGTAGGACAGGCTTAAATACCTGACGACGTCACCCAGTACAGGTGTGCCAGTGTTGTGACCAACCTCTCAAGCCTTTAAAAAGCGGTGGTTTCGCAGCACAGATAACCTAACAACGCAGTCGGGACGATGCCACCTCCTGCACCCCTGCCCCAGACCAAACGGGTGGATTGGAAATGAAGCCTCCAGGCTGTGACAGGTGTGGACAAAGACAATGGACTGGCCTGTGCCACCCAGCCAAGAAAAGCCACCTGCGTCCACAGGTCTAAAAGACACTAAAACAGTCTGGGTTCTAAACAAGCTGTGAAATACCAAACTCACATTTAACAATTTCACTCCCAAAGGACCACACTACTCTGAAATCCTGGCACAACTACGTCCCTAAGGTAACCTCGTACACGTTAATTAACTTCCCTGAGCCTCAGTTTCTTCACCAAAGAAAAAGAACCTGTTGAAACCTGCATAAAGAAAAGGTATCATGATGGTTCTGACAACTTTCATGCACATGTTTAACTGCCTCCCATAAAAATTTTCTAAAGCAGTTTCCTAATGCACGTTCCTTAGAACACCAATTTCATAGAATATTAATCGGTGTTTCACAGAAAAAAGCAATTCAGGAGGAAATAAGTTTGGGACATGCTGAGCTAAATCCAGCTACACAGATTACTGCGGAACTTCTCAAGACCTTTCATACGCTAACGTGCATTTCAGAGAAGGGGACGTAGCACATAGTTTTTAAAACTTATTTAAAAATGCACTCCTTCCTTCCCAGAATGTCTTATGGGGCTTAATGGTCCAAGAAAGATGGTTTAGGAAACTGTCTTCCAGTTGGGGATTGGCACGGCTGGGAAAGCCGTGTAACTTTCCTGAGCCTTGTTTTTCTCACCTGTGAAATGGGGATAATGACACTATCTCACAGGGCCATAGGGGGACAGGAGGTAATACGCAAAGGCCAGCACACAGCAGGCCTTTGGCGAAGGTTAATGCTCCTTCTCTAAAGGAAGAAAATCAAACGAGCCCGGGGGTAATTCTTACCTGAGGGTAAAAATTTTAATAGTAACAACTAGAAGAAAATTTTCTGAAATCCCTGGAATTATCTATAAAAATTATTTTTCCAACACTCTCCAAGCAGAGGGACAGCGAGCGTCCCTTACCTCCGAGAGCCAGGGCACGGGCCTGTTCCACTTCAGGTAGCTGCCGTTACTGCTTCCTCCTTGGCCGCCTGCTGGGTCCTGGCGGGAGAATGAAGGATGAACTTGGGAACGTTAGGATGGGAAACGGGGGCAGGGCAGGACTCAGGGCCCCGGGAAGGTCCCGTGGGGAAGCAGAGCCAGGAAACACCGTCCTGCTCCCAGGAAGCTCATCCGCCCGCGGGGCGCTGCCCTGCACCCCTCACAGGACACCCCCGGGGCAGGTGTGCGCCAGACGTTCTTTTGCTTTCCTGAATTTCCTCCGTCTTCCCCACAAGGGGAACAAAAAAAGGTTTTTTTCCGAATCAGGGCCAAGGCCACCTGAGGGCAGGGCCCCTGACTCCCTCTTCCTCCACATGTCCCAAGGCTCTGCCCAGGTTTGTCACGTGTTCCGGCACGTGGGAGTCCCTCAGGGACACCCCAGGTTCTGTGTGGGTCTGTTCCAGCTTTGGGGGTCCGTGTCTGTTCTAGGCTCAACCTTGGGGCTCCAGACCGAATGTCCCTAATTTGCCTCCCTAGGACCGCTGGCCCGAGAAACACCGTGGGGAAATGCTCCCTTTCCAATCGATACCCCGGCTACCTGCAGGGAGGTGTCCGTCCCCCTGAGCATCTCTGGCCCCCAGCAGCGAGCACCTGGCGTCGCCACCAAAGCACAGCCCAGCCCTTGCACCGGCACACGAGGCAGGACGTGCCTGGAGCTACCAGACGCGGGCACCTTCGACTGGGTGACAAAGGCAGAAACGGGGACGTCAGGCCACCTCTGCTCGCTCAGCTGGAGACCCCAGATGCCAGGCCAGGACTCCAGGGGTGGCCTCCTCTGCCCCTCCTCCGAGCCACTGGTGCTTTCCCGTGACGACGGCCATGGGGCAGGGCAAGCGAGGGTGTTAACACAGCAGCAGGCAAACGGGCTGGCCGGTCACGTACCTCAAGGCTCAGCCTCTGCGGATGGTAGAACTGGAGGTTTGGATCCACGGCTGGAATATTCCTGCTGGCCAGAGCCTGGGCCAGCTCTCTCCAGCTGCCGTACCCTGCGGGAGGCGGGGAAGAAGGGAGCCAGGGGTGAGTCGGAGGCCTCGCCCGTGAGCGAGACTCGTGGGGGTCACAGGGGGTCGTCTTCCCTCCTGCTCCGCACCCCCGTTCACACGGGGGGGTGTGTTGGGGGACGACAGTTACACACTTGGCCACGGTCAGAGAGGGGACAAGGAGACACCCACGAGCAGGTGCTGCTTCCACAGGCCAGAGAAGCAGCCTGGCCAGGAGAGACGGCCCCGTGCTCCCCCTGCCGGCCCTACTGCTGCCCTCCGGAGGCCACTGCCCCAGAGCTGCCGGCCCCACAGGCAGAGCACTCCTCCCCCAGCTCAGGCCCGCCCTCGGCGCCCAGGGGGAAGGCTGGGCCTGGGACCTGGTGCCCGTCAGACACATTTACGGACTGCCGGAGAGGTAAGCTTGAGGCCTAGCTGCTCCTGGGTTTGTCTGGATGTTGTTCCAACTGCCGAGACCGGCACCCTGGCGGCTCTGGAACTG